TCTGCAAGTGGCACTGTCAGCTCAACGTAGGCGGGGATCTCATCTTTGAGCTCTCTCTTTGGTCGCTTATTCTGCGGTGGGGACTCGCGGTCTTGGTCCAACAGCTGCTTTGGTTTGTAGTCGACGCCCTTCATCAGATCCACGCTCGCTGCATTGCGAGCTTCGATGAGGTAGTCAACCATGCCCCATTGTTTGTTCACCAGCTTGGACAGTTTGGAATCCTGCTTATCGATTGGGACGAAATAGCGCCCCGACGTAGACTCTTCGACTTGCTTGACCACCCACGACGCAGACGGGCTCGGGACAGTGCCCTCAGCTGCCACCAACGTCCAACCATGACTGATCGATGCCATTCGTATCTGGTGGCGGGAAGCAGCAGGACAAATGGAGGACCGACGATTGCCAAGGTATGCATTAAAGCCAAAATGCTACGGCTGGAATCGGGAACACCAAACACCTCTATTTGTTGTTTATGGTTGTTTGGTGTTTAAGTGTTTGTGCGAGCTTGTTCATTTATAGTTTGCATGGGTTTGTGATTGATCCGAGGGGCTCATGTGCGACAGCTCTTTTTCGGATGCCCAGGTTAGACAGCTGTGTTCCGCCGCGGCTTCGGGCAGCGCGCTGCCCATTGTCGCGCAGCGGAGGACAGCTGTCCAACTTTGGCGTCCAAAAACAGTTGGACGGCGGTGGCGGTGGCCAGCGATGGGGACACTGGATCATTCCTCATAGGGGGGACTGTATTGAGGATTGGGAGAGGGGGAGACACGCCGAACAGTGGTGACGCCTCTATTCCCAGCTCCCCCCGACCCCTCGTGACGCTCCCACCCCTTGCGACGGCAGTGCGTGTTTGCGTTGGTAGCTGGTTGATTGATCACGGCCTCCAAGTGTTGTCCGAGTTGCCAACCGAAAAAATCAGCCTCGCTCCTCTCCCTCCTCCTCTACTCCACCACCTACCTTTTCTGTCTTGTCGTCGTCTCCTTCTCCCTCACGCTCCTCCTTTGCCCACCCAAGCCCTCGACTTGGCTCAAATGCGTTGTTACGAACGAAGCAGGCGCTAGAGGTGCGCCTCTGCAGAGCTGCACGTGTCAGACTCGCGGCGCGATGCGTTGACCCACGCTCTCACACGACAGAACATCGCACGATGCGATTGCACGCGCCGAGCGCTGCAAGACGCCCACCCTGCTCCAGCCCATCGCAGGGTCAAACGATATATCGACGATGAGTTTGGATTTCCCCCTCCCTTCCTCCCTCCTCCCCCCCCCGTGCCAGTGGTGGGCTGAAGTATCGGAGCAGGCACTGGGCAAGAGAAAAATGCAGTGCCCTTCCCAACATGCTGCACTCATGCGAGTGCTGCGTGGGCACCAGGTGCCGAGCTGTTCGGCGTGCAACTAGGCTTTGCGAGATTTTGGGGCCTTCGGCTCGCCCGTGGAGGCCCTCTTCTTGGGGCTCTGGTCCGGGCTCGCACCCTCAGTGCGCTTGGCCGTTGCGATCCTGGGGTCGGCTAGCTTCTGAAACAGCTCATCGCCCTTGGCGATCTTCCTAGTGTTTACCAAAACTGGCACCTTTAGCGTACAACCGTAGAGCAAACATTCACGGTCCATGCGCATCTCAACGTGCTTAGGTGCCATGTTGGCAAGCGTGGCGTCCAGTGTCCCAGCGACGCAAAAAAAAACGGAACGATGAAGTACTCTGGATCCTTAGCGTTGTCCGAGCCGTCTCGCGAGCCGTCCTGTGGAAGGTCGCACTTAGGAACTAAAAACAAATGCTGGGGCTAGCTCTGCAACGCGGGGGCTCCAAGAATCGGAACGGCCGTAGACGGGAGAGTGCTGCCTAAACCAACAGTGGAGCACAAAGGGACGAGCACGCACTCTCCTGGCCTGTACGGCATCTCTGCGATCACGGACTTCGCCCCTTTGGCAAGCACGATGGTGACCGACACGTCGGGCTCGTGCTTAGCGAAGAGGTCGGCCACGGCAATTCGCGCCTGCATGCGGCGCGGAGAGGGGCGGATCGGCGTGGACGGACAAGGTGTGGACGGGATGTGGGAGGGTGCGGGGACAGAGCGTAGGACACGGCCGCATAGTGGCGACGTACACTCACCGAGAGCAGCGCTCGACCTCCGCAGATCCTCCTATTCTCCTCACCTCCCTCACGCATGCACACGAAAGACAAACACACGTGCTGGTAGGGATCAGCACTGGCCCAAGTGCTGATCCCTACCAACATCGTCGAAACCCACGGTCTCTCATCTCTTCAGCTGTGAGAGTGTGCTCTCGGCTGATGCCGTGCCTCCTCCTCCTCCTCCTCCTCCTCCTTCGCCTCCTCCTCCTTGTCATCTTCCTCCTCTTTGTCCTCCTGATCTTCCTCCTCCTCCTCCTGCTCCTCCTCCTCTTCCGCATCCTCCTTCTCGTGCTGCTCCTCCTCCTCCACCTCCTCCTCCTCTTCCGCCTTCTCTTCCTCCTCCTCCTCCTCCTCCTCCTCCTCCTCCTCCTCCTCCTCCTCCTCCCCGTCACCCTTCCTCTCCACCATCTGCCGTTGCTATCTTGGCCCAAGCGCGCCTGCGCCTTCAACACCTCGTTGAAGACATCCTTGTGCTGCAAGGCGCTGCGCCAGCTGCTCGTGGGCCCTACGGGGATCTCGAACTTCTCGGGCAGCTCCTGCACCTGTCCGCGCACGCGGGCGCGGCGGAACGGCAAGGGCGTGTGATTGGGATGAGGAGGAGGAGGAGGAGGAGGAGGAGGAGGAGGTGAAGCGAGAAGAGGAGGAGGGGGAAGGATGATGATGATGAGGAGGAGGATAGCACTGAGGATGAGGATGAGGATGACGAGGATGAGGTGGAAGATGATGAGGAGGAATCAGAGACGGGGAACCGAAGAAGAGGAGGGAGTGAAAAGGTGGACACGGAGCGGTCGGGAGGATGATGAGGAGCAGGAGGAGGAGGAGGAGGAAGAGGATGCGGAGGAGGAAGAGGAGCAGGAGGAGGAGGAGGAGGAGGAGGAAGGGGCGGGACAGGAGGAGGGGGAGGAGGGGGAGGTAAAGGAGGAAACGGGGGAGGACGATGACGACATAAGAGAATGGTTCGAGCCTTGTACTCGTCGATGAGCTTGCCCGTGATCAGTGACAGCTTGTTCTTGGCCTTGGCCTTGCCCCTGCCCTTGCCCTTGGGCGGCGCAGGGTGGGTGCACTCGAGGTGGACGGTGCAACCCGTGATCTCGACGATCTGGTAGACCATGTTCCCGCCAGCCTTCGGCACAACGTTGACGCCGACCTCGAACCCGAGCTCCGCGACCATCTTCGCGTCGAGGGCGACCGACCCTCCAGACCCGACAAACTCCACGAAGCCAGACGCCACAGCTGAAGCTGAGGCCGCGGCAGCGTCCGTGGTCTCCCACGGCACCTTCTTGCCAGCAGCGCTTGGGTGAGCGGCACACAGCTCCTCCATGAATTTGGCTTTGATATCGTCCAGCGTCCCGAAAACCTTCCGACCTTTAGCTCTCTTGCCCATCACCATCATCACACAACGAACGTGCAAATCGCCTGAAACTTTGGTGGCCGTCGCTGGTGGCAAACCCTGGATCGTCTTGAGAAACTCGTCCACCTGGTCGAAGAAGACGCTGCATTCCATGACCCGCAGGTGCTTCGTGCCTGTGTGCTGCAGCTCGGAGAGGTCGGTGGCGGTAACTAGGTTGGACACTCCATCTTTGCAGAACGAGTCTGGCGCCACGAGGCCCGCCTTGAGGCAAGCAATGACCCATCGTGGAGCGGAAGCGAGTTGAGCTTGCGCCAGTGCCGCGAAGGTCTTGGGGGAGATGTCCCTCCTCTGGTCACCGATGCACTTGGCGTAGTCGACGATCTCGTTGAGAAATCTGCCGTCCTCACCTCCGCTCCACTTCTGAACGAAGCTGCACATGCTGGAGGCACAGCCCAGGAGCTCAGGCTGAGACCTCTCCACTCGGGCTGCGATGCCATCCCAGTCAGCGTTCTTCGTCATCTTCACGTTTGTTGCAGCCAACTGGGGTCAGCGGCAAGGAAAACGCATGCTTCGGCCACCGCATGTCTTCTGGGATGTATGGTTTCAGCACGCAGTGCGGCGTTCTATTCATCGAGTTTGTGGGCGAGGGGGGGGGTCTGGCGCTGACCGAAGCATGCATTTCTTCTTGCCGCCGAACACCTTGTGGATGTGTTGCAGCGTTTGAATCTTGGACTGGTGGCGGTACGACGCGTGCGTGTCGTTGAACGCTTGCTGCAACAAGGATGGTAATCCAGGAAATTTAGCTTCCACCTCCCATTTGATCACTAAGAAGTCCATGCCCTGCGCCATTGGGATGCCGTAGGACGACGCCACACCGAGAACCAACTCTTTAGAAATAGTGCCGTCTGGTAAACATATGGATGGATTCAAACCCTTGGCGCCGAAGAGCACGCATCTCACGGTAGCCATAGTGTGGGACGAAGCAACGGTCAAGTATTTAAGATCCGAATCTTTGAAGCCAGCTAGATAACCATTGCTGCGTTCCACCAAATCTCGATTGAACTCGAATGCATCGTCGCCTGTCGCTCCAGGTGCTCTCTCGAAACACGTAGCTTGCCTGCATTCCTCGGGGTCGAATCCAGAAGCCAACAAACGGTCCAGCAAGCCGTGTACATCTGCAATTTCCAACCCGATCCCCCAACGATTTGAGCTGTGTGTCCCTACGAACTGTGGCAACAACTTCTGATGATACGCCAATCCTTTCTGAATGAGCAAATTAAGGAGCACTCGAACCTCTGATTTGATTTGGCTGTTGGCTGAACCACTGGTGGAAGTAGACATAAACTTGCCTATGATAGGCTCCACAGTCGAGGCAACATCATCTAGGATATCTTTCACTGAGCCAGAAGCCATAACAATAACGTCGTTGAATATCAAGAGAAACACCGACCTGCTCGGAACCCAAATGGCTATGGAGGCGACGGGGGGATACGATACTTTCCAACGTCGCAGGATACACTTCGCCACCATGGCGAACAGGATCCGCACAAACAGCGGCCCCCCAACAGCGACATTATCTTCGCGCCGCAAAAAAACACGCGCCCTCATGGAAAACAACACGCGCTATCGGGTATTTTTTGGGGCACCTATCCTGGTTGCTATCCTGGTTGCTATCCTGCTTGCTATCTTGGTTCGTATCTCGCTTTGAACCTACTTCGCATTCGCCGTAACCCCGTTGCTATCCACAACGAACATATATAGTAAATGCGTATGTAAGTAAACTAAGTAATCAGCATCCTACAACGAATCATAATCACCAGGCCCGATCGCGGTTACTGTGGATACTACAACTTCCCTAAGCAGACCCGCTGGATAGTAAACACATGTGCCATATGTATGTTAGGTGTTGGATTTATATGTGCGTTGTATGCGTGATACATGTGACGTGCATCCCAAATACATCCACGCAATCAGATGGTAAACAGGGCGACCATCTCAGTAGGTTTCTAGTTGACTCAAAAGAGCTCACAGATCACTCCACAGGGGGGTCCGGGCAGGCGTTGGGAGTTGCCGGCCGGGCCTGTGCCGGGCTCGTTTTTCACCAACAGTCACACACTTCGTGCTCGTCGACCTCTCAGAACCCCATTCCCAGGCCACATTCTGAATAACCGGATGCAACAGTCACACACTTCGTGCTCTTCGACTTCCCAGAACTCCATTCCCGGGCCACATTTTGAATGCCCGGAGCCAACTGTAGGCCACTTCGTGGTCTTCGAGTTCCCAGAACTCCATTCCCGGGCCACATTTTGAATGCCCGGAGCCAACTGTAGGCCACTTCGTGCTCTTCGAGTTCCCAGAACTCCATTCCCGGGCCACATTTTGGATGCCCGGAGCCAACTGTAGGCCACTTCGTGGTCTTCGAGTTCCCAGAACTCCATTCCCGGGCCACATTTTGATGCCCGGAGCCAACTGTAGGCCACTTCGTGGTCTTCGAGTTCCCAGAACTCCATTCCTGGGCATGATTTTGAATGCCCGGAGCCAACTGTAGGCCACTTCGTGTTCTTCGAGTTCCCAGAACTACATTCCCGGGCCACATTTTGAATGCTGAGGCAGGCTGAGGCTGAGGCTGAGGCAGGCTGATGCTGAGGCAGGCTGAGGCTGAGGCTGAGGCTGATGCAGGCTGAGGCTGAGGCAGCCTGAGGCTGAGGCCGAGGCTGAAGGCAGACTGAGGCTGAGGCTGAGGCAGGCTGAGGCTGAGGCTGAGGCAGGCTGAGGCTGAGGCAGGCTGAGGCTGAGGCTGTGAGGCTGCTGTGACTGCCGTTGCCACTGCGACTGTCATCGCGAATGCGACTACGACTGCGAGAACAGCACAATTCTACAACTGGATTCTCATCTGAATCTTAAGGGGAATGCTTCCAGATATGCTCCTACACATCGCTGTTAGGTTGCTTTGCCGGGATAATTTGTTGGTGTTGCAGCCCAGGAGGGGTCCACCATCTTTGGGTCGGTGGATGTGGCGTGGCCTGGGGCGGGGGGGTTAGGGGGCAGACATAATAATGTAATGCAATGCAATACCAAGCAATTATGCAATCATTGGATACATAGGATACGTTGCATTACGGCTTCCGTTCCGCTGCGCGACCTGCCTCTGGCAGCACGTCACTTCCGGACGTGGATTCTATAGGCTTACGCCACATCCGCCGACCCCTCTATAAACCACTGCGCCTCCAGGACTGCATTCCTCGTGGCGAGGATTCTCGCGGGCCTCTTCGAGGCAGTTTCGAAGGGTCTTGGGGGCCGTTTGGGAGCTTCTTTTGGGCCTCTTGGGGGCTCCTTGGGGCCTCTTGGGTGCCTCATGGGGGCCTCTAGGGGCCGCTTGGGGGCCTCTTGGGTCCTCCGGAGAGCTTCGTTGGGCGGAGCGCTGGAATTCGCGGTTCGTGGTCCCTCTCTTGAGCCCTTCTTCGGGTCGTCTTGGAGCTCTCTTGGGCCGTCTAGGGCGCCTCTTGGGCCACGTTGGAGTTCTTTTGGGTTGCCTGTGGGGCCTCCTGGGAGCCTCGTGGGCCGTCTTGGGGTGGTCCTTGGGGCCTCGTGGGGGCCTCGTGGACGGTTTTCAACGCCGTGAGTGTAACAAGTTGGATATGCTGAAAATGCACGTTTTCCCCATGGGATTTCAAGATTTTAGTTTCTGGGGGCTTCTTGGGGGACTTGTTAACAAAGAGCAGCTTCCGGAGTCATCTGGATCCCAGGGTCAAGCACGTAGGACGGCACCGACAACAAACAATTTGTCCCAACCCTCCTGCGTTGGGTTCCCGTTTTGAATGGAGCACTGCGGTCGCACACCCTTCGCCTGTCGCCCCCTCTCCCTTCTCTCCTGCCTCACCTCGCTCCTTCCTGCGTGCCGGCTTGCCTCCTACCTGGCCATCTCTGGGGGGCTGCGATGTGCGAGATTGTCGCCACTTTCGAGGGCTGCTGGGGGGTCCAGCGGAGTGACGTCCTACCCATATTCAAACTAGACTTCGCCATCCTTGGGTGACTGCGATGTGCGCAGCTGTCGCCACTTTCGAGGGCTGCTGGGGGGTCCAGCGGAGTGACGTCCCACGCAGTTTCACATTAGACCTCGCCATCCCTAGGGGGCTGCGATCTGCGAAGCTGTCGCCACTTTCGAGGGCTGCTGGGGGGTCCAGCGGAGCGATGTCTTACCCAGATTCAGATGAGACCTCGCCATTCCTGGGGAGCTGCGATCTGCGAAGCTGTCGCCACTTTCGAGAGCTGCTGGGGGCGGAGTGACGTTCCAAGCAGATTCAGATTAGACCTCGCCATCCCGGGGGGAGCTGCGATGTACGAAGCTGTCGCCACTTTCGCGGGCTGCTGGGGGTCCCAGCGGAGTGACGTCTGACCCAGATTCAGATTAGACCTCGCCATCCTTGGGGGGCTGCGATCTGTGAAACTGTCGCCACTTTCGAGGGCTGCTGGGGGGTCCAGCGGAGTGACGTCCTACCCATATTCAAACTAGACTTCGCAATCCTTGGGTGACTGCGAGGTGCGCAGCTGTCGCCCTTTTCGAGGGCTGCTGAGGGGTCCAGCGCAGTGACGTCCTACCCAGATTCAAACTGGACCTCGCCATCCCTGGGGGGGGGGCTGCGATCTGCGAAACAGTCGCCACTTTCGAGGGCTGCTGGGGGTCCCAGCGGAGTGACGTCCTACTCATATTCAAACTAGACCTCGCCATCCTTGGGGGGCTGCGATCTGAGAAGCTGTCGCCACTTTCGAGGGCTGTTGGAGTATCCAGCGGAGTGACGTCTTACCCAGATTCAACTTTATCAGTGGAATCCGTGGGGGACTGCGATGTGCGAAGCTGTCGCCACTTTCGAGGGCTGCTGGGAGGTCCAGCGGAGGGACGCCTTACCCAGATTCAGATTCGATGTCGCCATCCTTGGGGAGCTGCGATCTGCGAAGCTGTCGCCACTTTCGAGGGTTGCTGGGAGGTTCAGCGGATTGACGTTGTACACAGATTCAGACTAGACCTCGCCATCCCTGGGGGCTGCGATCTGCGAAGTTGTCGCCACTTTCGAGTGCTGCTGGGGGGTCCAGCGGAGTGCCGTCTTACCCAGATTCAGATCAGACCTCGCCATCCCTTGGGGGCTGCGATCTGCGAAACAGTCGCCACTTTCGCGGGCTGCTGGGGAGGTCCAGCGGAGTGACGTCATACCCAGATTCAAACTGGACCTCGCCATCCCTGGGTGGCTGCGATGTGCGAAACTGTCACCACTTTCGAGGGCTGCTGGGGGAACCAGCGGAGTGACATCTTCTTACCCAGATTCAGATTCGACCTCGCCATCCCTGGGGGGGGCTTCGATGTGCGAAACCGTCGCCACTTTCGAGGGCTGCTGGGGGGCTCAGCACTGTGACGCACTGCGCAGACTCAGATTCGACCTCATCCTTGGGCTTCTGCGACCTACGACACTGTTGCCAGTTTCGCGGGCCGCTGGGGGGTCCAGCGGGGCGCCGTCGCGGGCCGCCTGCAGACCTGGCGGCGCACCTTCGAGCGTTTTACCTCCCGCACATGAGAAGTGCAGGGAAGGAGCAGGGTATTTGTCGTGCGGGCAAGGCCTCGCTCCCTTCTTGCACTGACTATGCACACGTCTAAGCATTGTTTCGAGGGCCGCGGCAACGTGGTGCAGGCAGCGCTGCATCTTTAGCGCGCGAATGGCAAAATCATCACTCGTCGGTCCCCTCCCGTCATTTTCGTCGTCGTCATCTGCCCCACTGCCCCCTTCCCTTTGCTGCTGCCGCGCTGACGTTCGGCCCCCGACGCATGCTTCGCTTGCCCTTCGTTCCCGCCCCCATGTCCTTCTCAAGCCTGGGCCTTCGCTCCTCGTCCTTTTGTTGTTGAACATTATTACTTCTAAAGAATAATTATTGTTGGGACCCCTGGTGCGCGACCCCCCTCCAAAACCTAGGCCGCAGCTACATTTTCATCATTTTTTAGCGAAAGCTTCAGAAAAGTGAATTATTACCGGATCCGGTTGTTTTGTTGTACTCCGTTTTCCCTTGCAAAAAACACTATAAAATGAAAATTCTTGTTCTTACTTGATCAAATTGCAAGAATCCCTTGCAAAAAATAAGGTAAAGTGGACATTCGTGCGCGCAAGACGAAATCCTTCCAAAACCTTAGGTTTCGTAGCGATTTTAACATAAAAACATCAAAAACCCAATGGTTTTTTAAGAAAAAATTGTCAAAATGTCCTTCCGCGCGCGCTGTCCGAATCCCACAAAACCAATGGTTTTTCAACATTTATGTTACATGAGCTCGCGCGAGCTACTTTTTCTTGTTCTAACATAATCAAATTTCAATAATCCCTTGCAAAAAATAAGGTAAAGTGGACATTCGCGCGCGCAAGACGAAATCCTTCCAGAACCTTAGGTTTCGTAACGATTTCAACATAAAAACATCAAAAACCCAATGGTTTTTCAAAAAAAAATGTCCAAATTTCATCCCGCGCGCGCTGTCCGACTCCCACAAAACCAATGGTTTTTCAACATTTATGTTACATGAGCTCGCGCGAGCTACTTTTTCTTGTTCTAACATAATCAAATTTCAATACTCCCTTGCAAAAAAAAGTAAAGTGGACATTCGCGCGCGCAAGACCAACAAAAAACACGACGATCTCAGGAACTTGCCCCAAAAATGTGACCAACTCCGCTCTCTCTGTCTCTCTCTCTGTCTGCTCTCTGTCTCTCTCTCTGTCTGTCTGTGTCATGTATTGTATGTCACAATTGCAGGATGCTGGGCACACGCGCGCCCCGAATAAGTGACCAAGTTCTGTGGGTGTGTACCCCACGCCAGTGTAGTAGCCACGGTCGTCCGCACGCCACGAAGTGAAGTGTCCCAACGTCATAGGGCGGGAAGCTGGGTTTGGGTGGTCGCGAAGAGTCGTTTGGATATTTGGTAGAGCTTGAACTGCCCCCCCACGAAGTGGGGGTATTGTCTCGCGTCGCATGAAAACCCTGGCACTGGTGAGAACACTGAGCGTTCGGGTAAAATGATTGTTGTTGTTGTTGTTGTTGTTGTTGTTGTTGTTGTTGAACATTATTAATTCTAAAGAATAATTATTGTTGGGGCCCCTGGTGCACGCCCCCCCTGCGCCGCCTAGGCCGCAGCTACATTTTCATCATTTTCGTGAGGAAGCCTCAGGTAATACGATGTCATCAAGATCCGGTTGTTTTGTTGTAATCCGTTTTCCCTTGCAAAAAACACTATAAAATGACATTTCTTGTTCTAATATAATCAAATTTCAAGAATCCCTTGCAAAAAATAAGGTAAAGTGGACATTCGCGCGCGCAAGACGAAATCCTTCCAAAAGCTTAGTGTTCGGAGCGATTTTAACATAAAAACATCAAAAAACCAATGGTTTTTCAACAAAAAAATGTCAAAATCTCATCCCGCGCGCTCTTGCGGATTCGTAGGAAACCCAACACTTTTTAAACATTTCTGTCAAACGGGCTTTTGCGAGCAACTTTTTCGAACTTCTGCGACAACGGTTGCGCACCTGCCAGGGCCATCATCCCTGTCAAATAATACCATGCGGGACACATTCGTTTTTTGCGCGCGCACGCCGAAATCTCCAAAAACCATTGGGCTTCTTAAGAATTTTAGCACCGCGCATCATTCATCAAAAATCCCCTTTCGCACCGCGCTGTCCGTGGCTTAACAACTTCTGTGGGTTAACAAGGCTTAAGAACTTCTGTGGGTGTACGAACGTAGGCTTAACAACTTCTGTGGGTGTGTACTCCACGCCAGTGTAGTAGCCACGGTCGTCCGCAGGCCACGAAGTGAAGTGTCCGAACGTCATAGGGCGGGAAGCTGGGTGTGGGTGGTGGCGAAGAGTCGTGTGGATATTTGGTAGAGCTTGCACTTCCCCCCCACAAAGTGGGGGTATTGGCTGGCGTCGCATGAAAACCCTGGCACTGGTGAGAACACTGAGCGTTCGGGTAAAGTGATTGTTGTTGTTGTTGTTGTTGTTGTTGTTGTTGTCTTGTGTGTTGTGCCACGCGAGCGCGTCCCATGCACCTTGCGCAACACATAACGGCGCCTGCGCTGTCATCCTGTTGTCACTTGATGCACATGGGTTGGGTCCGTTGCAGGGTAAGTGCATGTTGTATGTGATTTTCTATGTACACATCTTGCGTGTTTTGCTATTGCTGATAACTGTTGGGCTCTCTATATCCGCCAAGGCGCTCTCGCCTCGGCGCCGGCTGCATTTCCTTTGGAATTAACTACCGCCCAAACCAACCCCCAAACAATAACGCTCGCGTGCGATACTTCCTCACAATGAATTTCGAGAGGCCCTGGGCAGACAGGGAACCTCAGGCAGGGCGCTTTTGGCACCACATGGGGGTCCTTCAGAGCAGTGAAGAAAGCGAGACTTGCAGAGTCTGTTGTCTTAGGCTGAAGTGTTCTGAATACAGTCGGACCGGGGTATAAGATCGAGGTCGCTTCGGGGAGGGTGCCCTGATGTTCTTCGCCTTAGTATAGGTGGACGTTCTTGTGCATGCCGGGGAGGGTTCCCCTGGATGAATTCTGTGTGCTTTGGCCGGCGGAGGGCATCTGTTCTTCAGAGGGCTGCTCTTCTGGCCTAGGCCCGACTCTATGAACTTCCGGTGTACGTGCCAGGCGCTGCCCGGCGAAAGACCTTTCTGCACCTGCCCCGACCGAGCAGGAGCGGATCTGCAGACCGGCGGGCGGCGCCCAGCAGCCGCCGCACCTACCGAGGGCGCCCTTGGCCGCCGGGCCCGCGGCGGACGCCTACGCGGGCGCCTTCGGCCGCGGAGCCGCGGGGGCCACCCACTCGTTCTCGCCCGCCGCGCTGCAGCAGGCCGGCCTGGCGGCCCCGGCGCCCCTGCCGCACTCCGCGCCCCCGCCGGCCGCAGCCGCGGCCGCGCCCGCCGCGGCGGCGCCGGCCGCGGCCGCGGCGGCGCCGGCCGCGGAGCCGGAGGACCTGCTCATCTTCGAGGACACGGTGGAGGCGTCGTCGCCCAGCTCGGCGGACCTGCTCTCCTTCGGCGACGGGGCCTCCGCAGCATCCTCCGCGGGGCCGGAGGAGGGCCCGGCGGAGGCCGCGGAGCTGAAGCGGAGGGGCAACGCGCTGGTGAAGGAGAGGCGGCCGGGCGAGGCCATTCGGCAGTACGAGGCCGCGCTGGCGCTGCTGGCGCCGGGCAGCCACGAGCCGCTCCGCGCCGTGCTCTTCGCCAACGTGGCGCTCTGCTGCCTGCAGCAGCAGCTCTACCGGCGCGCCGTGGAGGCCGCCACGCGGAGCCTGGAGGCGGACGCCGGCCACGCCAAGGCCTTGGCATCGCTCGGAGGTGTGCATTTTTTTCCTTCGGCGAGGACCATCGAGGAGCGTCCTTGATCATGTCGCGAAAAAGCCACGCACGAAACCGAAAAAAACACAGGAAATGGACGTCCGAGCGATGGCCAGAGGCCCACTACCGGCGCTGCCTGGCGCACAGGGCGCTGAAGATGTTCGAGGACCCTCGGGGCCGTTGGCGAAGACTTGCCCAGTCTGGCATGGTCCAGTTGAATCCTTGACGAACCAACAACACACACACCCATACCCATAGGGGGGTCGGAGAGGGCTATGGGTACGTGTTGTCGGATGGGGGTCCCCGCTCCAACGGGAGCGTTCCCCAGGGTCCGACAACCCGCACCCATACCCATAGCGAGTCCTCCTCCCAACGACCGCCCTTATGGGTACGGGTGTGTGTTGTTCGTTCGTCAAATCCTGGGCTTGTTCCCTCGGTATAGTCCGGCTTGACGGCTTCTAGTATGTCTCCGTCGAGCTTACTCGCCCTGATCATCGGAGCGCAAGATGCATTATCGATCCCCCCGTTTCGGCGAACCTGCATGTCTGTCCGCCCTTGGAAGTGATATTCTGGATCCCAGAACCTTCAGTGCGGGATCCCATCTAGATCGCAATAGGCTCCCAACACGACCCCAATCGGATTCCATGATGATTCCTGAGGCTCACCGAAGACGCCAGAGGATTTAATCAATGATTCCGTAAGGGTTCCTGAGAATTCCTGCCGGGTTCCTGCAGGTTCCTGCAGGCTGCCTGCAGGATTCCTCGGGATTCCTGAGGATTTATCAGGACTCCCTGTAGGGACCTGCTCCTACAGTAGGGGCCCATGCGTAGAAACACCTTGCTTACCTCCAGGCTGCCCTGGGTTCCTTGGGTGTCGATGGTCTTGCGATGGAGAGCGTGACACCCCTGCACCAAGAGTCAATGGACGTCCCGGGGCCTCAGGGTTGGGTTTCTCGTGGAAGGTGTCTTGTGGACTGGCTCCCACTGTGCGCAGGACTCTTGAGCGCCCCCGGCCTTCGCGGCGCCCGTGCATCTTGCTCTTGCCTATGGCGCCCCGGCAGGTCTCGGGCGCAGGCCTCACCCCGCGGGACCCTTGAAAGACTCCCGAAGATCCCTGAGAGTCCGCTGCTCTCCCCCAAGGAACTCACGACTGGGGTGCTGGCAGTGTTGCTCGGCGGTTCCCCCTCTCACGGGAACTCTCACGCATGGTTCCCAATTCTGCTTGGTTGGGTATTCGTTTTGTCTAAAGCACCGTGGTCTCCACATCCTCCTCCTCCTCCTCCTCCTCCTCCTCCTCCTCCTCCTCCTCCTCCCGCCTCCCTCCTCCTGCCTCATCCTGCCCTTACCTCTCGCTTATTTCCAACCCTCCTCCATGAGGGTACTCGTTTGGAATGCTCGCGCGTCTTTCGTCCTCCTTTCCGCCTCCCTTCTGCCTAATCCTTTTTTCCCAACCCTCCTGTGGTGTTGGGCCCTCGTTTTGTAGAGACAGCGCCCAGCGTCACTCCTCCTCCTCCTCTCCTTCTGCTCCTCCTCCTCCTCCTCCTCCTCCTCCTCCTCCTCCTCCTCCTCCTCCTCCTCCTCCTCCTCCTCCTCCTCCTCCTCCTCCTCCCCCTCCTCCCTCTTCCCATCCGCCTCGTCATCGACATCGTTATCATCATGATCGTCATCATCACCTCTCCTCTCCTCTCCTCTCCTCTGCTCTCCTCTCCTATCCTCTCCTCTCCTCTCCTCTCCTCTCCTCTCCTCTCCTCTCCTCTCCTCCTCTCCTCTCCTCTCCTCTCCTCTCCTCTCCTCCTCTCCTCTCTCTCCTCTCCTCCCCTCCTCCTCCTCCTCCTCCTCCTCTCCTCCTCCTCCTCCTCCTCCCTCCTCCTGCTTCTCCTCTCCTCCTCCTGCTCCTCCTCCTCCTCCTCCTCCTCCTCCTCCTCCTCCTCCTCCTCCTCCTCCTCCTCCTCCTCCTCCCCCTCCCCCTCCCCCTCCCCCTCCTCCCTCCTCCCATTCGCCTCGTCACCTCAATGCGTTGCACCCACTCAGGACAACGTTTCGTGGCCCTATAGGGAGCTCCACCGAAGGCTCCAGTGGCACAGGCCGCATGCGGTAACGCCATCCAGGACAGCGCTTCGTGGCCCCATAGGGCGTTCCACCGAAGGCTCCTGTGGCACAGGCCACCTGCGTGAACGCCACCCAGGACAGCGCTTCGTGGCCCCATAGGGAGCTCCACCGAAGGCTCCAGTGGCACAGGCCGCACGTGTCAACGCCACCCAGGACAGCGCTCCGTGGCCCCGTAGGGAGCTCCACCGGAGGCTCCAGTGGCACAGGCCGCATGCGTCAACGCCACCCAGGACAGCGCTTCGTGGCCTCATAGGGAGCTCCCCCGAAGAAACCAGTGGCACAGGCCGCATGCGTCAACGCCACCCAGGACAGCACTTCGTGGCCCCACAGGGAGCTCCATCGAAGGCTCCAGTGGCACAGGCCGCATGCGTCAACGCCATCCAGGGCAACGCTTCGTGGCCCCACAGGGAGCTCCACCGAAGGCTCCAGTGGCACAGGCCGCATGCGTCAACGCCACCCAGGACAGCGTTTCGTGACCCTATAGGGAGCTCCACCGGAGGCTCCAGTGGCACTGACAGCGGTTCGCGGCCCCATGGGGAGCTCCACCGAAGGCTCCAGTGGCACAGGTCGCATGCGTCAGCGCCACCCAAGACAGCGCTTCGTGGCCCCATTGGGATCTCCACCGAAGGCTCCAGTGGCACAGGCCGCATGCGTCAACGCCATCCAGGACAGCACTCCGTGTCCCCATAGGGAGCTCCAACGAAGGCTCCAGTGGCACAGGCCGCATGCGTCAACGCAGCCCAGGAAAACGTTTCGTGGCCCCACAGGGAGCTCCGTCGAAGGCTCCAGTTGCACAGGCCGCATGCGCCAACGCCACCCAGGAAGGCGTTTCGCGGCCCCACAGAAGGCTCCAGTGGCACATGCCGCATGCGTCAACGCCACCCAGGACAGGGCTTCGTGGCCCCACAGGGAGCTCCACCGAAGGCTCCAGTGGCACCGGCTGCATTTGCCATTGCCGCCCAGGACAGCGTTTCGTGGCCTAATGGGGAACTCCACCGAAGGCTCCACTGGCACAGGCCGCATACGTCAACGCCACCCATGACAGCGCTTCGTGGCCCCATAGGGCGCTCCACCAGGCACAGGCAGCATGTATCACCCCTTCCAGGACAGCGCTTCGCGGCCCCATAGGGAGCTCCACCGAAGGCTCCAGTGGCACCAGCCGCATGCGTCAACGCCACCCATGGCAGCCTTGCGTGGCCCAATAGGGAACTCCACCGAATGCTCCAGTGGCGCAGGCCACATGCGTCAACGCCACCCAGGACAGCGCTCCGTGGCCCCATAGGGAGCTCCACCGAAGGCTCCAGTGGCACAGGCCGCATGCGTCAACGCAACCCAGGACAGCGTTTCGTGGCCTCATGGGGAGCTCCACCGAAGGCTCCAGTGGCACAGGCCACATGCGTCAACGCCACCCAGGACAGCGCTTCGTGGCCCCATAGGGAGCTCCACCGAAGGCTCCAGTGGCACAGGCCGCATGTGTCAACGCCACCCAGGACAGGGCTTCGTGGCCTTACAGGGATCTCCACCGAAGGCTCCAGTGGCACAGGCCGCATGCGTCAACGCCACCCAGGGCAGTGGTTCGTGGCCCATAGGAGCTTTACCGAAGGCTCCAGTGGCACTGGCCGCATGCGTCAACCCGACACAGGACAGCGTTTCGTGGCCCCATAGAGATCCCCACCAAAGGCTCCAGTGGCACAGGCCGCATGTGTCAACGCCACCCAGGACAACGCTTCGCGGCCCCATAGGGAGCTCCACCGAAGGCTCCAGTGGCACAGGTCGCATGCGTCAAGGCCACCCAGGACAACGCTTCGTGGCCCCATAGGGAGCTCCACCGGAGGCGCCAGTGGAGTAGGCCACATGCGTCAACGCCACCCAGGACAACGCTTCGCGGCCCCATAGGGAGCTCCACCGAAGGCTCCAGTGGCACAGGCCGCATGCGTCAACGCCACCCAGGGCAGTGGTTCGTGGCCCATAGGAGCTTTACCGAAGGCTCCAGTGGCACTGGCCGCATGCGTCAACCCGACACAGGACAGCGTTTCGTGGCCCCATAGAGATCCCCACCAAAGGCTCCAGTGGCACAGGCCGCATGTGTCAACGCCACCCAGGACAACGCTTCGCGGCCCCATAGGGAGCTCCACCGAAGGCTCCAGTGGCACAGGTCGCATGCGTCAACGCCACCCAGGACAGCGTTTCGTGGCCCCATAGGGAGCTCCACCGAAGGCTCCAGTGGCACAGGCCACCTGCGTGAATGCCACCAGGACAACGCTTCGCGGCCCCATAGGGAGCTCCACCGAAGGCTCCAGTGGCACAGGTCGCATGCGTCAAGGCCACCCAGGACAACGCTTCGTGGCCCCATAGGGAGCTCCACCGGAGGCGCCAGTGGAGTAGGCCACATGCGTCAACGCCACCCAGGACAGCGCTTCGTGGCCCCATAGGGATCTCCACCGGAGGCTCCTGTGGCACAGGCCGCATGCGTCAACGCCACCCAGGACAGCGCTCCGTGGCCCTATAGGGGGCTCCACCGAAGGCAAACGCCACCCAGGACAGCGCTCCGTGGCCCCATAGGGAGCTCCACCGAAGGCCCCAGTGCCACCGCCCGCGTGCGTCACGCACACCCACGGCGCACCCCTCATACGTTGCGTGGCCATATAGGGAGCTCCACCGAAGGCCCCGTAGGGAACTCCACCGAAGGCGCCGCCCACCGCACCCTTGGCCGATCGGCGCGGGCCTTCGCCTCCCCCCCCATGGAGTAGACCTTCGCTGTTTCTGGCGCCTGTTTCGAGCAGGCGGAGTCTCCCCCACAGGACGCACGGCTCCGAACAGTCGCACCAAGCAGAGTTCCGCAGCCAGACCCCCCCTCCCCTGAATGTCGAAACGACGAATTAGAAAACGCTCACATTTCGGCACACCCATTACACGCTTCGCTGCACCATAGAGAGCTCCACCGACGGCCCCAATTGCTTCGTTCACATGCGCCCACCGCGTCTCTTTCGGCACACCTCTCACGCGTTTCGTGGCCCCATACGCACGGCGGCGCCAGTGGCTGCTTTCGCA